ACAGTTATAATGTTTATTACATTGTAACATGCAAATCAATGGAGATGAGGCAATTCTAAGTATACAGCTCTTACTGAGAACAGCCAGGAGGCAAACCTGGTCACAAGGTTTTTTTTTTTTAACCTCTATAGCTTTTCTGAGGGTCGCTATGGGTTGGAATTGAGTTGACTGGCAATTAACAACAAAAATAGTTTTTCTGAACAGTAGTCAACAAGCCACATGAAGCCATTTAAAAAAATATATCAAAAAAAACTAAGATAAGGAAATTATTTTTGGAACCAAATCTCTCTCCTCCTACTTCCAGGGCTTACCTGATTTCAAAGGCCTTACTGGGCTCACCCTTCAGTCAAGGAAAAGTGAAGAAGGGAGAAATGACTTCCCTCAAATCATAGTAAAACACAGCAAAAGCCAGGCAGAACCAAACACTCAACGTGCTTTTCTTTTTCACTTTTCATTGTGATTTGGGTGAAAGTTTACAGAACAAACTGGTTTTCCATTCCAACAATTCAAATACATTTTGTTTTATGAACCTGATTATAATCTTCACAATGTAATAACACTCTTCCTACTTCCTTATTGTGTTAGCCGTTGTCATTTACCATTCTTTCCTATCCTCTCTAAACTGAGCTTATCTCTGGGCAAATGCTGCCAGTTTGATATCAAAAATGTTCTAAGGAGTGTGTACCTCCCTGGTGTTACTTACTCGCCTTATGAGCCTGTCTACTGTTTGGTTCAAAATACGACTGGGGAAGAGCTGCCTCTACATAGAGATGACCATGATGAAGTGAATGGAGTAAAGTCTATGGGACTAAAGCCCTCGGGACCTTCAAGTGCTGATGGGGCACAACTTAAAATGAAGAGAAACAGCTGTAAATATCCACTAATAATCAGAACATGGAATGTATGAAGTATGAATCTAGGAAAATTGGAAATTGTCAAAAATGAAATGGAATGCATAAACATCAATATCTTAGAATGGACTTATATTGGTCATTTTGAATCTGATAACCACATGGTTTACTATGCTGGAAATAACAAATTGAAGAGGAATGGTGTTGCATTCATCATCAAAAAGAACATATCCAGATCAGTCATGAGGTAACAACGCTGTCTGTGATAGGATAATAGCCATGCACCTACAGGGAAGCCCAGTTAAGACCACTATTGTTCAAATTTACATACCAACCACTAAAGCCAGTGAGGCTGAAATAGAAGAATTCTACCAACTTCTTCAACCTGAAATTGATGAAACATGCAATCAAGATGTATTGATCATTACTCGTGATTGGAATGCAAAGGTTGGGAGCAAAGAGGAAGGATCAGTAGTTACAAAATATGGCCTTGGTGATAAAAATGATGCAGGGAACGCATGATAGAATTCTGCAACATCAATGATTTGTTCATTTCAAATACCTTCTTTAGACAGTATAAGAAACGATTATACACATGGAACTCACCAGATGGAATACACAAAAACAAACTGACCACATATGCTGAAAGAGATGGTGGAAAAGCTCCTATCATCAGTCAAAACAAGGTCAGAGGCAGATTGTGGAACAGACCATCAACTGCTCATATGCAAATTCAGACTGAAGCTGAAAAAGTCCACGAGAGCCAAAATATGACCTTGACTATATCCTGCCTGAATTTACAGATCTGAAAGAACAGATTTGATACATTAAACACTAAAGACTGAAGACCAGAAGAGTTGTGGGATGACATCAAGAACATCATACATGAAGAAAGCAAAAAGTCATTGAGAAGACAAGAAAGAAGGAAAAGGTCAAAATGGATGTCAAAAGAGACACTGACACTTGCTCTCCAGCATAGAGATGCTAAAGCAAATGGAAGAAATGAGAAGGTACAAGAGATAAGCAGAAAATTTCAAAGATCAGCTCGAGAAGACAAAGTCAAATATTACAACAAAATGTGCAAAGATCTGGAGTCAGAAAACCAAAAGGGAAGAACAAGCTCCACATTCCTCAAGCTGGGGGAACAGAAGAAAAAATTCAAGCCTCAACTTCACCGTACCAAAAGGAAATGGTTGATGTTCAGCCATTTCAAGAGGCAGCATATGATCAAAAGCCAGTGATATTGACGGAGGAAGTCCAAGGTGCATTGAAGGAACTGGCAAAGAACAAAGCACCGGAAATTGAGGGAATGAAAATTGAAAACTTTCAAGAAAGTGAGGCGGCATTGGAGGCACTCATTCCCCTATGCCAAGAAATTTGGAAGACAACTATTTGGCCAACTGATTGGAAAAGATCTGTATCTGTGCCCATTCCAAAGAGAGGTGACCCAACGGACAATCTCTTTGATACCCCAGGCAAGTAAAGTTGAACTAAAGGTAATACAGAAACGGCTGCAACCATACATTGACAGAGAACTTCCAGAGGTTCAAACTGGATTCAGAAGAGGACATGGAATGAGGGATATCATTGCTGATGTCCAATGGATCTTGGCTGAAAGTAGAGAATATCAGAAAGATGTTTACCTGTACTCTATGGACTATACAAAGGCTTTCAGACTGTGTGGACTGTGACAAGCTATGGAGAACATTGCAAAGTATGAGTATTCCAGAACACAAGGAATCTGTACATGGACCAAGAGGCAGCTGTTTGAACAGAAGAGTCGGTTCTGACTTATAGCGACCCTGTACAGGGTTTCCAAGGAGCGGCTGGTGAGTTTGAACAGCTGACTTTGCAGTTCAAACCGACCTTGTCGTTTTGTAGTCCAGTGCATTAACCTGCAGCATCACACCAGGACTCCACATATCCATTAGTGTACACGCATACATATACATACATACGTATACATATACATACATATATATGCTATACCATATTATAGTCATGGAGCTCTGGTGCATAGTGAGTACGAATTGGGCTGCTAACCTCAAGGTCAGCAGTTTGAAACTACCAGCTGTTCCAGTGAGAAAAAGATGAGGCTTTCTGCTCCTGTAAAGATTTACAGCCTCAGAAACCCTGCACAGGGTCACTATGAGTCGGAACCGAATCCATGGCACACCACCACCACCACCACCACACTGTACTCATGGAGTCCTGGTGTGGCACTGCAGGTTATTGAACTGGACTACAAAGTCAGTTTGAACCACAAGGTCAGCTGTTCAAGCTCACCAGCCACTCCTTGGAAACCCTATACATGGTCACCAGGAGTTGGAACCGTCTCAACAGCACTTGACAACAATGGATATACTTGCAGCATGTACAGATGTAGAAATATCCTCCTTCAAACCTGTATCTGTTTGTGGGTGTCGTCCCATTTGCCTTCCCATACATGTTGAGCCTGTGTCTATATACACACCCACTTGTAGATTATTGTTATTACTGTACTTACAGGATTGTGTACGATCTCTTGTGTTCCTCCAGGGTCCTTGTTTGCCTTCACCATTTTGTGCTGACCTCCCCATTATTGTATACTGCCTTTCCCTTAACTCACTTCTTTACTTCTGTTCAGCAGACCACTTCATAACATGCAGAAACTACACTGCCATATATGAAAGGACCTTCGTGTTACTTGATAATTCATGAAGTCACCATTTCCCTTCAGTTCAGATGTAATTCTTCCAAATAGTATCATGAGACATGTAACACCATTTGGAAAGAAGGCTTGTTTTTAAAAGACCTCGTTTCAAAGTTGCTGAAGGTCACCTTACCTGACTTCTTCACCAGCAAAATCAAACACCTTGGTGATTTTGACCTTTTCTGTCTCTTCGGGCTTCTCCATCTCTTCTGCTTGGACCAACAATTTACTTGAACTTGTCTCTTCAGTTTCTGCTCCTCGCTGTGAAAAAAGTAAGAAGTTTAATCAGCCTCACCAAAGGATACAACCTAAAAGAACCACGCAAACAGTCAATGACTGTTCTTAACGGTTTCACCTGTAAACAACTAAGACACACAGGGACAGCTCCATGAGACCCCCGCCTGTAGTCGGACCAGTCTGCATTCGGGCTTTAGCGGGCCCAAAGGCAGTCTCTGGCAGCTCACACCTGGCCATAGATGGGCTACAAAGAACTCCACCACTCATAGGCCTGGCCACAAACTGCCCCAATGATTTATTTTCCAATTATTGGGATACTACAAAACTCAATCTATGACTTCTTCACCATGGCTCATACCTTTATCACATAAATATGACAAAAGTATCATTTCTGGACTCTTGAATGAGGGTGGATGAAACTGAAGCTCACTTTTAGAAACGTCATGAGACGTGCTCGGCGTATACATGGGTGCACTATCCAGAACCGATTCTGCAACTTCTCTACCTTTTATACGTGCATATGCATTACTTGTGAAAAATATGGTAATCTCGACTTACCTTAACTTGTGCACTTGAGGGTCCTTTTGATTTGGATCCCACATCGTTCAGAAAGCTGGCCCAGAGCTCATCCTCCTTCTTTTTCCTTGCATCTTCTGACCTGATGCTTGTCTCCTGCTCAACATCTGCATCTTCCTCCTCGCTGCTGCTGCTGCTGCCTCCAGATTCCTCTCTGGCCTCCTCCTCCTCTTCTCCAAGTGAAAGGCCTCCCTGTTTTCTCTTCCTGGTTACCAACAATCACAAGAAAAAGGAAGACAAGACAGAGAATCTAAAATTACCTCACAGCTATTCGTTCCTTAGTTCCAAACATCAATCTGGGCACTATGAACACATTAACACTTGGGGGAGAGGGCAAGCTGAGATTTTCTGGAGGAACAAAAGAAGTGGGCCCTCACTGCTCTCTCTTTCTCCAAACACTTAAACATCAAGATATAGTGTTCATCTTCTAAATCAGAGCCAGCTTAATTCCACCAAGAAAACACCCCAAATCACCTCATAGAATTAATCTACTCAAAAAATGTGCTGAGAATGTACCTATGTCAAATATTTGGCTTTTATTTGCACTTTCTTCCTAGAGTTCTAAAAAAAACCATATTTCTACTTTCTGACGATACAAAAGCTGGACTATAGAAAAACTAAAGGACAGGACAAGGGAATTCGTTTCAAGACTTGTAAGAACAAACTGTTTTGACTACAGGTGAATGATTTTATATCCCAAAATTTTTTTTTGCATTTAAAAAATTATAATCTGGTTTTTGCATCAGTGCCCCAAAAGACAGAAACACCAATCAAAGAGTGGTAAGAGACTTCTACGGAAGATGCCCTTACCTGAGCTAAATCACTGTCAGAATTTTCCTAACAGTTTCCTAACAGTGTAAATAAAGTACCACATCATAGAAGGCAATCTGCCAATATCCATTTAAAATATTTAACTGCAATGACCTTGAATCAAATAGTTCTACTTCTATAAATGGGACTTGCAGATACAGTGATACATGTACAGAAAGGCATATACAAGACTATTCAGTGCAGTCCTGCTTACTGTAGTGAAGACAGGAAACCACCGGAATGTCTCTCAACAAGGGAAGGCTTCAAGCGTGGTCTGTCCACATAACAGTACTGCCAGGCAGTCACCAACTAAAGGATGTATACCTAATGTACTGCCAAGGTACCATCTCCAAGATGTGAAATATGCAAAGTGAAAAAGGATATGCAGATTCTGCAACCATTTATATTATTTCAAAACAAAATAAGGGCAGCCACAGAAGGGCAGGGCGCAAAAAACGAGCGTAAATGTAAACAACAGACACTGCTGTTGGTAAGTGCTGTCGAATCAGCTACAACTCAGCACAACCCTGTTTACGGTTTCTAAGGCCTTTCAAAAATCTTTGCAGGAGCAGAAAACCTCATCTTTATCCCACAAACTACATATATTAGTTACAAGTAATGTACTGACATTAGTTTATCACTTACAACAGACCACAGAAAGACACCGGGTAAATGGCTTTAACTCTTGTTTAGGACAGTGAACATCTCTTTGTGGTTATAGACACTTTGGTAATGATTATTGGTGACAGTTACACAACATGTCAGTGGAGCTGATTTTCACTAAATCATAAATGTGAAAAATGTTGAATTGGAAAATGTGTTACATATATATTTTTACAAGAATAAAAAAATACAATTAATTAGAGTAATGATGTGCAGGAGGAGGGGCATATGGGAGCTGTTTCAAAAAACAAAATCCATTTAAATAAAAAAGAGGCTACGAAACACAGCCCCGCTTGTCCATGTGGAGTATCTCTAGGGACAGCTCTTTTGAGGAAAAGCAACAAGGACTACCGACAGGGCAGACACTTCAATACTAGCTGAGCCTTCTGTTTTTATCATGAGCATATTTTAAGCTCAGGAATTTTTAAAGTTTGCCAGAGACTAAGAATGTAATCTTAAAATATCAGCAAATGTTTCCCACAGACAGAAAAAGGAAAGGAGCCCTGTCAGTATGAAATGCTAGCAATAGACGGGCTGTGACAACAGACCCTGACCTCTAAGGACCTGGAGGGCAGCATCACCTGGCCAGAATGCTCTCAGCCTTTCTCTTTGTCCCTTTGGTTTTCTGTGTCTGCTCTTCAGCATCCACTTCATCTTCCTTCACTAATTCATTTACATCATCTTCACTATACTCTCCACCTGAAATCACATAATAGTGTGGTCAGACAGGAACGAAGGTTTGCACATCAAGATGAAATATTGTTATCCAGAAAAGGGCAGTCAGTTTCCACTCTACAGTTCTTCCCCTATTCTTCATCTAAAGCATCATTTCCTTAGCAGAGTTGTCTGTTTCTGAAGACTAGGGTACGTTCCCCATTATCACCTTCATTTTCACCCCACTTGAACGTATTTCATATTTATAATCCCTGTTGTTGTTGTTGTTATGTGCCGTGGAGTCAGTTCGGACTCATAGCGACCCTGTACAGGGTTTCCGAGGCTATAAATCTTCACGGGAACAGAAAGCCTCATCTTTCTCCCGCGGAACAGCTGGTAGTTTCGAACTGCTGACCTTGCGGTTTGCAGCCCGATTCGTAACCACTACACTACCAGAGCTCCTTATAATCCCTGTTAGGCTCCACATTTCATGAGGATATAACCCTCTGTCTTGACTATAAGTACTTACTGAAGTAATTAATTGACAATGCAATTCTATTAATGTAGAAGAAACAAACACATCTCATCTCAGGCATCTTTCAAAAACAGACTTTATCTCGTCAATAAAAGGTATTTTAAAAGACTTCCAGTGAAAACATAGAAGGCACAAACACATCTATTTCCCATCTTCAGACAGTGACAGCAACAGAGTGGCCTGGATACCCCGTCTGAACACACACTTTGGGCACCAAGCAATAAAACCCAACCACAGAGATTCAGCTCCCTTTTCAAACTTCCGAGATTTTTCTATGGATTATAGCATTCACTGTGGGTTTTCTTGGTGTTTGAAGACTTCTGGAAACAGATCGGCAGGTCTTTCTCCCGTGGTGCCACAGTGATTGGATTTGAAGCACTCACCTTTCACTTAGCAGTATGCAAAACGACATCAAAAAAAAATCACCATCAGAAAAATTTACATTTACCGTAAACCTTGATTCCAGAACAGTCTGGTTCAAAATAAAATAAAAACCAGTCACTGGAAGTCACTGAAATATAGACTAAAGACCACACACAATCATATCAATGGATGGAGAAAAGGCATTTAACAAAATTCATCTCTCAACAAGTCAGGAACAGAAGGGAACTTCTGGAACAGGATAAAAGGCATCTGTCAGAACACAGAGTTAACATTAATCAGGCAAGGACGTCCACTGTCGCCACTCCTATTCACCCTCATACTGGAAGGTGCATCCAGTTTCGTAGGGAAAACCAAAGAAATAAAAGGCATAAAAATTGGAAAGGAAAAAACAGAATAATAGTATAATTGTTTATGTGGAACATTCCATAAAATCTAGAAAAACAAAGCCTCTATACCTGCTAAATGGTTCCAGGAAGGTTGTAAGACACAAGGGTCATGTGTGAAGCAATGAACAATTGGAAATAGAAATTTAAAAGACCAAAATAAATGGAGGAGTCCTGGCGTGGCACTGTAGGATAAGCACTGGACCACAAATTCGATTTGAACTGTAAGGTCGGCGGTTCAGACTCACCAGTCGCTCCTCAGAAACCCCATATGGAGTTGCTATGAGTCAGAACCGACTTGTCCACACTTAACAACAATTATGTCCTTTACTGTCTATGTGAGTTGGAATTAACTTGACAGCAGGAGCTTGGATAATGAAATTATTGGTACTTCATAACACTAAAGATGTTTCATTTAATCTCTTGTAACAAAAAAGATTTTATATAGTGTTCAAGGAAATGTATGTGTGTGTGTGGATGAGAGTGCCGGTGGCGCTGTAGGATGAATACTGGGAACAATGGACTGACTGACTGGTATCCTTCTGTGGCACTGTAGGATAAACACTCAACCTCAAGGTCGGTTTGAATCACAAGGTCAACAGTTCAAACTCACCAGCCGCTCCTCGGACACCCTGAAGAGGCAGAGTGAGCAACCAAGTCAATTTGGAGCAAGACAGATATAAGTGAAAATTACCTGATGAATCTGAGAATGAAGAGAGATGATTTAAACAACTCTCTGAGCACTTGTTGTTGTTGTTAAGTACCGTGGACTTGGTTCTGACTCATAGTGACCCACCCTGCATAGGGTTTCCGAGGCTGTAAATCTTTATGGGAGCAGAAAGCCTCATCTTTCTCCAGCAGAACCTCAAGTATGACCTTGAGGTTGGCGGTTGGCGGTTGGCAGCCCGACCCATAACCACTACGCTACCAGAACTCCTTTAGGGTTAATCAAAACCGTAGTAAGTAGACAGCCAATTAAGCAATAACCACAAAAATGGCAGTTATTCACGCCAGAGAGAACAAGCTACACAGGAAAAAGAATCACAGAATATCATGTTGGTTTGGCTGTAAACAGTGTAAAAAAAAACCCAGTCATTACAGACAATAACACACTGAATACAGATCAAACCAAATTTTAGACATGATTATAAAGGCAGACCGGGAAGTTTAACGCTGAAGGTACAAAAGAGTGTTGGGAGTGAGGGGAATGAAGCATCAGTATCACTTGACTCAGTTGAATGTGGTGCGGAGTAGAACTGCTCCACAGGGTTTTCCTTGACTGATTTTTCTGAAGTACGTGGCCAAGCCTCTGGGTAGACGGCACTAACCTTACAGTTAGCAGCCCAGAAAGTTAACCATTTGCACTGCCCATAGATTTCCAGGAAATGAGGGCAGGTATGGATCTGTGGGATAAAGTACTGAATCGCATGGTCAGTATGAACCCCAAGGTTGGTGGTTCAAACAAATCAGGTGCTCCTTGGAAACCCTATACAAACTCGCTATGTATTAGACTCGTTCCACTTATCAACAACAAAGCTGTATCATCCACAGGGAAGGAAGTCAGCAGGCAACCAAGAGGGGTTCCCAGTGGAGATAATGTAGGAACGGGGGTGAGGGAGAAAGCCCTGGTTCTCACAAGCCTGTTAGAAGCATTTCACTACTGATTGAAGTGAACACTAGTATTTAAACTGTTCCATCCAGTTGTTATCCTAAGAACAGATATTGGTGACCATGAGCCGAATTAGCATAGTTTGGAAGCAGTTGGTTACTTGAAAGAACCGTAGTTAAGAAATGTGTCTGGTGAGGAGTGAAGGAGCCCTGGTGGTACAACGGGTTAATAGTTGAACTGCTAAGCAAAAAGTGGGTGGTTCAAACCCACCAGCTCGGTGGGAGAAAGACGAGGCAAACTGCTCCTTCTTGGAAACCCTACGGGACACCGGTCAGAAACTACTTTTCCACATAAACGAACAGAACTTATCCACGGGTTGTTCCTAAAAAGAGCGAATAAACATGTTGGGCCACTAACGACAAGTCCGTGGTTCAAATCCACCAATCAATCTGGTCCTATAGAGATTTAATCTCTGATACCCTATACTCTGGTAGCGTAGTGGTTACGAATCGGGCTGCGAACCTTAAGGTCAGCGGTTCGAAACTACCAGCTGCTCCGCGGGAGAAAGATGAGGCTTTCTACTCCCGTAAAGATTTACACCCTCGGAAACCCTGTACAGGGTCGCTATGGGTCGGACCCGACTCAACGGCACTTAACAACAACAACCCTATCCTGGTATGGCGCTGGGGGTTAATGCACCAAACTGCAAAGCCATCGGAACTGCAAGGTCGGTGGTTCAAGCTCACCTACTGCCCCTCGGTAACCCTACTTAGGGTCGCTGAATCAGAATGGACACAACGGCACTTAACAACACCCTATCGCAGGTTGGGGCCCTGGACGCTGGTGTGGCGCTGTAGCCGGTAACCGGAAAATCAGTAGATCAAACCCATCAGCCGCTCGTGGAAACCCCGTACACGGTGGCTATGAGTCGGAACACCACCACGAGTTGATGGCGGAAGTCGGTTGGTTTGCCTACCATTTTGAACCGGAGCCGGAGCGATTACACAGGAAGTCTTGATGAGACAGGTAAATTAGAAGAAGGCGTAGAATGGGAAAGGTAGAGGCTTAGGTGATACGATTTATTTTAACCACATTCGATTTGAGATGCCAAATGAAGTCCGGAGAAACAATCTACGGGTGTATACGGCAAAGAGGCAAAACACAAATTAGCATGTGAACGCTTTATCAGCGCTCAGGGCGTGCATGCGCACATCCCTCGGGTCTACCCTGGAAGTGGCACTAGTTAGCAATCCCCTCAGACCGGGAGCACTGAGGAGAACTTTCCATGCTCGGGTTGCTTTTCAGAAGCATTCAGAGACAGCGATGTCGTTCCCCAGAGGCAGGGCCACATTCACGTGCCGGTTCCCGCTCTCCGGTCGAAGCCAGGCCCCAGGGAGCTGCTGCGTGAATGCGCCCGCAAGCACGTTCTGGAAGCTTGGGGTGCGTGGGGCCGGCACGGTGGGAACGCTCGAGGCCAGAGCCCCCCAGGCTCCCAGGACAGGTGCACGCGGGGACCTAGTGAGCCACACGTGAGGGGCGGAACAGTTCGCCGCTCGCCTCCAGCGGGATCGCTCACCCGACGGCACGTAGTCCTCATCTTCCTCCGAGGTGGAAAAGTCTTCGGAGTCGAATTCCTCCATGTCACTGCCACGAGGGGCAGGCCAATACGCAGGACTACAGTAGCTAACCTCAACGGCAAAGCGCTAGAGAGCGATCATAGAGCTGCGGCGCAGGGATCAGCCAGGTGGAACTCGGAAGCGTTTGCGCACGCGCAGACTGCCACATGGTCGAAATCACGACACTTCCGGGCCCACACCTCTAGGCGGACGCTGCTATGGGCGTCGGCCGGAGTCGCAGAAACCTGCGCGGAAGCAGTGCATGCTGGAACTCGTAGTCCTTAGCACTGTCTCTGATCGTTAAGTGCCCATGAATCGTTTCGACTCATAGCAACCACAGAGTGTATTTGAACTACCGACCAGGCGGTTCAAACCGACCTAGCAGTCGAGTGCATATCCTACATATTCCCTGTTTGAGGAACTATCCTAGAAGTCAGACAATATCCACAGGAATCCTTTTTTAAAGAGAGCAGACGTGGAAATAGAACCACATACGACTTGTCCTGTTTCTTCATATTAACAATTTTTGTTTAGGAAGTGTAATGTTAACAGTGGTGGAATGATGTGGAAAAGCACAGAGAGAATATTGTTGTTAAGTGCCCTTGAGTAGGTTCCAACTCATAGCAACCTGTATAGGGTTTTCAAGGAGCAGCTGGTGAGCATGAACAGCAGGCCTTGCAGTTCAAACCGACGATGCAGTCCAGTGCATTAACCGGCAGCACCACACCAGGACTCCATAATGAGAATGTTGTTGTTGTCAAGTGCCATCTAGTCGATTCCGACCCATAGCGACCCTGTACAGGGTTTCCAAGTAGTAGCTGGTGAGCTTGAACCACCGACCATGCAGTTCAAACGGCTTTGCAGTCTGGCGCATTAACCCACAGCGCCACACCAGGACAATGTAATAGGTACATTAAATTGTACTTATAAAATTTGCAGAGAGGTCCTGGGGCTGCGGCGCTGAGGCGCTTGGGTTTCTGGGCTGTTCCGAGACCGGAAGTACGTGGGCTGCCTAGCTGGCCTTGCTTAGGTTTTTCAGGAAATATGGAAGCGGCGGCGGTACTCGGAGTTCAGACAGTCTTGTGACGGTGTTCGTGTACACTCTAAAAGGAGAAAAAGAGGATGCCACTGAAATCATCATCTACAATACCACTATCCTTGCCTTCTCCTTTACCCTCAGGGCCAGACACGATTACTAATGCTTCCCCTCCCCCAATGTCTTACATCACATCCCAGGAGATGAAGTGTAATCTACACTGGTTTGCTAGTTGGTCAGGTCCCCAGCGGGAACGTTTCCTACAGGACCTGGTGGCTAAGGCAGTGCCAGGAAAATTACAGCCACTATTACATGGTCTGGAGCAGCTTGCTGTGTCTGGGGCAAGCCGACAACCTTGTATCTTTGAGTGCCAGCTATGACTTTGGGATCAGTGGTTTCGAGGTTGGGCTGAGCAGGAGCGCAATGAATTCATCAGACTGCTTGGAGGTCAGTGAGCCGGACTTCGTGGCAAAGTTTTACCAAGCAGTGGCTGCTACAGCTGGTAAGGACTAATAGACATTAAAACCAAAGAAGACATCTAGAACTGGAGTTGAAGATACGACTTTACGGTGAGACCTTAATTCAGATATGCCACTCAAAGATCTGGAGATGGTAACCTAATCAGCTGACTGAACTCGATGGCAGCACAGATATGTCATGTTAACAGTAGCATATCAACTGCATTCCTAATGTCAATGTCAATGTTTTTCACCTAAGTAAACACAATCATCAGTCTCCCTCCTAGCTTGCTTCTTTCTGAGAGACATCAAGCCCCTGAGAATTTGATGGCTCCTTTTGCAGCTACATCCAAAAGGAACCAAAATGTAATTCAAGTTTGTCCTACTGCTAGCTCATGAGGGTTGTAAAGTAGAACCCTCCTGTTATAACTATGTGACATCCTCACTGCTAACTTTCCCAGTGATGATTTAGTAAAGTTAGGGACAATCAGGGAGATAGTTGGTTATTCTCTCTTCCATTGAATCCAAATAGCAAATGTGTTTGTTTTTTTTCCAAAGCGTATGTGATATCTTTGGAACTGTTAGCAGGTGTTTTTATTTGTAACTTTACAATAGTGTAAAAATAAGTGACTCTTTATAGGTTGGAGAGTTTATTTTTTATGTCAAAATAAACAATAGATACTCAGGAAAAAAAAAAAAAATGCAGAGATAGGTGAGATCTGGGGACTCCTAAGCCCATGGACAAGGACCTAGCCAAGGAGGGCTAGAGTTGAGAGTGAAGCATCCAGCTGATCAGTGACAGGAGGCACACAAGAATGCCCAAACTTGAAAATAGTACTAATTTGACCTAGCTTTGACAGCTTGATGATCAGAACTCCAATAGAAGCTAAACATAATAAAGGAAATGAGTATAAATTACTAGAATCTGACTAACTTGACCTATACTTACTGATGTTGTAGCTCAAAATACCAATTGAGAGGGAAAGAGTCTTCACAAGAATCAAATTTATCCCCTCTTTATATAGGGATGGAGGAGCAGGTATCTTAGACACTGGCTACCTAAAATTGGGGATGGGGAATTGCTATAAAGGCACAAAATGACTGGCTTACAAGTTTTCAAGAGGGAGTTTCATTTCAGAGTGCACAGGGGAAGGTAGAATCCCCACTGAATAGTTTTCATCTTGTCTAGATGGGGCTGGTGAAGAGAGATGGGAACATGATTCTTATGATTCAATAGTGAATAAGTGTTATCATGACTAATTCCAACTGTCATAACTGCAAAGGTAGAAGTTTTGTAACAAAAAGGGGGGAGTAGTTCATCTTACAGTCCAGGAACAGAGGACCCTAGGACCATCAAGGGAGAAGAGCACAAGCAGAATGCGAGACCCTATCCAGAGAAGCAGCAACACCAGCGATGGAGACAGAGATAAGGACATGGAAAGGAGCAAATGAGGGCTCGACTCATGGAAAGAGAAGAGTTGTGTGCTGGTGGTCAGGAGGCAGTAGAATGTGCTGTTGGGTTATTTAAATGATTATATATTCCTGTGTTTTGTGCACATCAAAAACAGAACAAAACAGAGGTAAGAGAAACAAATACTGTTGGATGATGATGCCGGAAGGCACTGTGATCATTGCAGTAAAACAATGAGTGTAAAACCTATGTTCTCCCATGTAAACTATCACTCAGTTCACAATAAAAGTTTAAAAAAAAAACCCAACCTGCTGAGATGGCATATGATGTGCTATGTGCATTTTCACCACAATAAAATCTTAAGTAGAATTCAATGATGAGAGGCACTAATCAGAAGCAAATGCAGATGATATCAAGGACTAACACTACTTGGTCATACCAGGGTCAGCTAGGGAGGTTTCCTCCAGCTGTGTCCTAGATTAAAGATGCCAGGAGTTCAGGCGACCCATGTGTGTCATAGTAGAACTGTGTTCTTTCCATCAACTTTTCAATGACATGGCCCACAAAGTGCAGTTAATAAGATGAAAATTCACATGTAAGTACAATTCAATCATACATTTGAACTAGAGTTTTACTATAAATTTGTAAAAAGTTGAACATTAGAGTTCAACATGTATTGTTGTTGTTGTTAGGTGCCAAGTCAGCACCAACTCATAGCGACCTTATGCACAGCAGAAGGAAACACTGCCCGATCCTGGGCCAGTCTCACTACTCACTCACTACTGTTGCCACACTTGAGTCCATCAATGCTGTCACTTGGCCAATCCATCTCCTTGCAGGTCTTCCTCTTGTTGTTAAGTGCCGTCAAGTCTGTTCTGACTTATAGTGACCCTGTATAGGGTTTCCAAGGAGCAGCTGGTGAGCCTGACCCGCCGATTTTGCAGTTCAAACGGCTTTGCAGTCTGGCGCATTCATCCAGAGCGCCATACCAGGACTCCTCAACATGTATTGTTGTTAAGTGCCGTCAAGTCCATTCCGACCCATAGCGACCCTGTATAGGGTTTCCTTGGCACAGCTGGTGAGCTTGAACCACCAACTTGCAGTCCAAATAGCTTTGCAGTCTGGTGTATTAACCCACAGCACCACACCAGGACTCCTCAACATGTATGGTGCTGGTGGATATGTGCTGTGGAGTCAGTTTCGATTCATACAGACCCTGCACAGGGTTTCTGAAGCTGTAAATCTTTATAGGAGCAGAAAGCCTCATATTTTTCCCGCCTAATGGCTGGTAGTTTCGAACTGCCAACCTTGAGGTTGACAGCCTGATTCGTAACCACTAAGCTATCAGTACTTCTTCAACATGTATGCTAAGTATAAATTATAAAACAGACAACAAACAGTCTGACAACTTTATTACAAAAGATTAAACTCGTTAAGTGCCATCGAGTTGGTTCCAACCCATAGCGACCCTGTATAGGATTTCCAAGAAGCAGCTGGTGAGCCTGAACCACTAACCTTGCAGTACAAATGGCTTTGCAGTCTGGCACATTAACCCACAGCACCACACCAGGACTCCTAGACCACTGAAAAATACCATTCCAGCCCACAGAATGGAAAGTAATTCTTTATTGATAAACATTTATACCAGAATTAGAAATGTCAGTAGAAAAATAAAATTTAAATAATTCTCCATTGTACAAAGATTTGATCCTTTAGACTGCAGCAGTTAGTGAAAATCATCTAATACAAAACGTTAAGCTGATTTTTTTCACAACCAGCCAGCCTTACAGAGTACACAAATGAGAAACAGCTGTACAGACAACTTTCTGCATATGGATAAGTAATTAAACCAGGGCTTCACATTCCAGGAAAGCTTGCCTTGGGAAGGCTGGGATGCACTGCAGTGTACTAAGAACTGTATTCAAACCAGAGCAGCCATAAAGGACACTGGAATCAAACACCAACATACATTTTAAAAACTTAACAACGTAAAGGTTTAAAGGTAATTTATATGCAGGGACTTTTTCTCATAACTTTAAACATTTTGTTAAGGTCTTTTTTTTTTTGCAAAAAAAAAAAATAATAATAATTACTAGCACACAGTGGAAGGCAGAGTGGAGAAAGATGCCTTTCTCTTGAAATAACCATTACCCTTATATGTGGACTTAAGCTTTCATGAATGCTTTCATCTCAAAAGCAAAGGTAAAAGCTCAACCGGAGGAAGCGGTGAGCTGCACATGTCTCTACGACAGAATCTGGTGCAAGTCCTGAAAAACATACGCAAGGTAAGATAATATGTTCAACACAAATGCCAATGTTTTTCTATCAGAACCACCCTCCCCAACTGTATATTTGAGACAAAAACTAAAACAAATAAATAAAGGGGAATATTGAGAGTTATCAAACAGTTCCTCCCTGAAAATTTATTTCAAGCTCTTGTAGATCTTGAAATCTAAATACAAGGGGGCTTCAAAAAGTTTGTGGAAAAATTCCATTATCTTTCTATTCTATTTTCCCACAAACTTTTGGAAGCCCCCTGGTACATTTATTCACAGGAGAATGCTTCACATACTGGGATGGGTGAAACACTTAATAACTTAAAGATACATTTTCTATTTGAAGTTTTATACAAAAGAAGATAATAAAAATATATGAAACAGGAAAACAGATGGAAACAAACCTTTCAAAGTGCCTTAATTTTGAAATAACGAAACATTTTAATCATGGATTACGCATGTTCAAAAATTAGTATCAGGGGAAAAGGGGGCACCAACTAGTGGAACTATTCATTTGAATATTTTGTGAATTTGTAGCAAAAAAGAAAAATTTGGGGCAAAAATTCTAATATGAAGGGCTTCTAAAAGTTTGTGAAAAAATGCAATTAAAAGATGAGGCATTTTTTTCACAAACGTTTTGAAGCCCCCTCATGGGAGGCCTCTTTCAATAGAGAGGATCAAAATCTTCTCCCAGGATAAAGGATATCGCTACTCCACATTTCTTAAACTGAAAGATTACTTTTCAGAAAGCTTCTTGAATAGGAAAATGGAGTCTTGAATTATAAATCTTACTTGGTGGGAGGAAGCTGTAAGCACTGGAGAGGAATCTTGTTGAGGAATTTGTGAGGACACTTGACTGTAATCCAACTCTACTTACTTTCACCAAGCCAAAGAATACATCAATGTAATTTTGATACATGGTCTAATGCCCTAAAGGAATTCGCCCAGTTAATTTTTGTGCTCTGTAGTTTTTCTCTGACTTTTCTTGGAAGAAGGTTCCCCTTGGTCTGTATTTTAAGCAGAAGCCAGACTGCAGACTGTTTTATATGGAACAGGTAAGGTCGTATGCATATGTCCTCATGTGTCATTAGCCTTACTCTTACAATAATGACTCTCAAAATATCCAACTTAGTTACCGAAAGTGATTCTGAAAACAACAACATGGATTATATGCCATACAAAACAGGTTAGACGGTAAGGATCAAGTCAGATACTTCATTTCTGTCATCCTTTCCCTTGTGAAGGTCACAGTTTCCAGACATTGTCATGAAAAAAGACAATACCTAAAATGGAGTTAAAAACTCTGTTATTTCATTCTTTTGAGGGATACACAGTATCCTAGAAAAAACTGTTAAGGGCTGAGGGGGGCACATGTAAAAATAAAGCTGTAGGCACTTGCTGAGAGTTGGCACGCAGTGCTGTTAGAGTGGGCTAAAGAGCTCCACTAAGTAGCCATGTTAAGACCAAGGAATCAGTACCCACTAAGTAGGTAAAACCGCACTTCTAGAACTTCCCAAGATTCCCTAATAAACCAAAGTCACTAGGGAAAACTATAACAAAGCTTAAAGGATCTTCTTGTTTGTGTGTCTAAATCAATCTGGCTTAAAATTTTCAACTCAAGCCAGTCACATAGGGTCTGTTTCCAATTAACCTGAAAAAGAAATGTAATAGAATGAAAGTGGTAAGAAAAGGTGGTATAGGGATTCTGGGGAGGGAGGAGTCTTAATTAGCAAGCTTATTTTGTTAAAATGCACAAAACAACAATTCACATCTCTTACAATAGATTAAATAATCAGAGGTCAAGATGGTTATCCACAAAATGTCCCATCATTCAATATGTAGCTCTTGTTTCTTTAAACAGGAGAATCAAAGCCACTACTTAAATCTAAAAAAATTTAGATTTTTCCCGCCCCCGTTATATTTCACTAAATTTGTTTTCAAAGCTACACATGGCCAAAACCTACCTGGCACTTAATGTCAAGAAAATGTAGCAAAAGAAGAATTTAACCACATTTCAACCACAGACTAGATCAACTAAGACATTTTAGTACAGTTGCCCTGCTTAAAAATAAACCAGTATTTCCCATAATTTCGCTGAACATGCAATACTGCATTTTCTCACAGAGTATTATAAATTTCAGTGTAAAAGGTATCAACCCAGGAGCCCTGGCTTAGGTAAAGGTGTAAAGCCACTTAAATAGCTACACGAAAGAAAGCCAAGAGACACGTTTCCTTTTGGTGGAGAGCAACAGGAATCCCAAAAGGTCTCCCATTCCTGGGGCTCTGGACTAAAGAACCAGCTGACACATCGTCCTTCATCTGTCTCTTCATCCAAGTTGCTTCCATATAAAATCTCATATGCCATATTCTTCTATGAAGATTCTATCTTAGGTTTCAGTACTCGATTTTCTTGGCATCGCAGCCTGAGAACATATGCTATAGAGTCGCTAAAATCCGGAGAAAGGACACCACCACTACACAAAATGTCTGTCCAGTGCCCAAGGTGAGGGCTTCCAATGGGATCATTTCCTTTCCTGCCGCTCGGTAAACGCCAGCAATTGCTGCACCTGTTTAAAAGTTCAAAAACGTTTCAAAAGAAAAAGAAAAAATTGAGGTTAATATAATCAGGAGAATACAGCACTTAAAATTCTACCATAAATAAAATGGTACAGATTTTTAAGGTCTTAGTATTATGGAAATGTTCTGTTTTCCCTCTTTCTACTAACTACTTTAGGTTCTAAGTATTCCTCATGGTTTGTAAATCACTACTATATGCTTTTAGATGTTTAAAAACGACTCCTTGAAATTGAGACTCTTCTAGGTGCACTGGATAAAAAGTCTCTGGCAGAAGTCAACAAAATCAAGATGATAGCAATTCCCACATGACCTGATTATGAACTCAAAAATATCTCTTTATTTCCCATGCCAATTAGCCCTGTGCCTAGCATTTAAAAGGCACCTAATAAGTTTTTGGCAATAGATGACATAGATTCTTCTGTGTGATTAAATTAAATCACATCAAATTTGAACATTCATTTAAAACATTTCTGGGCAAAAACTGTTTCAGAAGAAGCCCCAAGTCCCACCTTCTCCTATATTGAGTTCCCTTCAAATGATGAATGGAGGGAGAGGACAAAGGCAAGCGGAGGAGGAGGACATCCTGCAGTAGGGCCTCTACACCTAAAGAGTTGTTTAAGAAATATGTAGAGATTCCTTTCTGCTCCTATGGCATCAGCTGTCACTATGATGTTAGTTACTATAACTTCCTAGAAATTAAGAAAACAACGCAAGCAAAAACTTCTGTCTCTACCCAGATAAACATCTGAGTTGCTATAGGGACTCAGCATTGCACCAAAAAAGCAAATGAAATAAATCTTGGTTTAAAAAGAATAGATCTGAAGGTCCCAGATGACTTTCATCCCCAGAAGGCTCTAAACAAAATTCTCCTTGGTTACAGGGTGCTCATTCATCCAAGTAGTATTATTTACAGAACACATCTATGTATTATAAAGTATGATCTCAATTCTTATAGGACTCAGCACCTACACAGAAGGTACACACATGAAGCTGGTTTAGAATAATGCAAGACAATGCATTGTGTCTTAATCAAATGTCAATGTTATGTGATATAAAAGTATATTAACAGTATCAATCCTATCCCCTCTGTAAACAGGGCAGATAGGGACGGGCAACTTAGACATTGGCTATCTAAAATGAGGTGCTATAAAGTCACAAAGTGACGGCTTACAAGTTTTCAAGAGGGAGTTTTAGTTTCAGAGTGTGCAGGGGAAGGCAGAGTCCCCATTGAATGCTTTTCATCTTGTGTAGATGGGGCTGGTGAAAAGAGATGGGGATAAGATTCCTATGATTCAATAGTGAGTAATTATTATCATGACAAATTGTGACTGTCAAAATTGTAAAGGTAGAAGTTTTGTAACAAAAAGGGGGGAGTAATTCATCTTACAGTCCAGGAACAGAGGACCCTAGGACCATCAAGGGAGAAGAGCACAAGCGGAATGTGGGACCTTATCCAGAGAAGCAGCGACACCAGAGATGGAGGCAGAGGTGAGAACATTGAAAGACAAAGCAGCTGAGGACTCAAGACTCATGGAAAGAGAAAGGCTGTGTGCTGGTGGCCAGGAGTCAGGCTTATAGAAGGTGCTCTTGGGTTATTTAAATGATTATATATTCCTGAGTGTTTCTGTGTACATCCCCAAAAAACCCATAAAAACAAAACCCAGAGGCAAATACTGTTGAATGATGGTGCATGGAGGAGATTGGAATCATTGCAATGAAACAATGAGTGTAAAGCCAATGTTCTCCCATGTAAATTATCACTCAGTTCACAATAAAAACTTTAAAAAACAGAAAAAAAGTATAACAAAGAGTCTCTGGAATATTTTTTAAATTAAGAAAAAATAAAGTATATTAACATATTTGAACAAGAAGAAAGAATACTGCCAGCCAGTGCCAGTTTGGTTGCCTTGACCATGTGTAATGGTAAATGCCACTTCTGGTGGCAACAAATACCTTGTGTTACTAACATCATAATACACTTTACTGGGTCCCTCTGCTATTTAGCTCCAAAAATCGTGGGTTGGGTAGAAAGATGCTTAAGGAACTTGAACTGGGCCCTCCAGTAAGATTTGGCTGAAGACGGAGGGAAGAAAAGAAAGAGCAAACCAGAGGGAACAGCTCAACAGGAAAGGAACAGAGCGCTCAACAGAGCCTTAAAACTGGAAGTGAATGCAGCGTCCACACACAACTGCCATATACCAAGTGCTCTGTCTGTGCATTATCACAGGTGCCCATGGTAGGACTTATGTTTGCTTTCAATGAGAAAATTAAAGACAGATCCTGGGAACCAGGAATCCATGAAGAAGAATGCGCCAGAAGGTTTCTACAGAGCAGAGTAGGTGATATCATTAAAATGTTGCAGAAGGTCATTTACAGCAACTCCTTAATGCAGACAGGAGCTTTCTTTGTTATCACAAAACTTCTATCATCTACAGAACACAGCAAAATGAGACACGTCATCTCAGAAACACTCAAGCCAATAAGCTGAGAGAACTCGTTGAAGAAGCCGCAAGGTAAAATCAAGGGGTAGGAATACTGGTTACAAATTAGCAGAAATATCATATTTCTCTTTATAAAAAATACATTTCATATGTATATACATAACCTAGAAAGTATATACTATACCAAAATGCAAACTGTGGTGTCAACTTAGTGAGAGAGGATGGAATTTTTTTTTTTGCATATTTACAACTTTTTATATAAAACAGACATGTTATTTATACCGAATTACATATTAGTCTTATCCCTGTAACTGTGCCCTGTGACATGAGCAAAATCCAAAACAAATTCCTAGCAATAAAACTCCAATTTTGATTCAGAAAGTGCTGAGAAGAGAGAGAGGAATAAATTAAAATAATAAGAACACACATCAGGTACTTTTCTAAACTAGAATTTTTGTCACCCAAATTTTTCTTTCACCCTCAAAGTTATTCACCAACAATCTTGCCCACCTGTGAAGGGACGGCTGCTAAGAAGGAGCAGCGGTTCCCAAAGGACAAGCCTATTTGTCTTTTGTAAGTGACCTAGCTCACAAGATGAATCTCCCGCCAAGCTCAGCATGACTCCCCTGAAGCCAATGAGAGGGAAAAGTAACACATTAAAAACAGGATTTGTGACTAAAGGTCACTTTTCTGCCTTGTTCCTACTCAGACATGCCAGGAAATTGGGCCCTGAAAGGAGGAGCTGACTGGTCATATTAAACGTTTTGACTGGTATTTTAATGTCTAACATACTTGTCAAGATGCCAGCAGTAATTGGTCCCACGATGCCCATCAACAGGATGCTTACAGACATGAACCTACCATATTTGTGGTGTCTGAGGGTGAAGAGGGCCAGCAGTCCAGCAGGGACATGAAAGAAGAGCGAGGAGACCAGGGCCCACAGGAACACACCATACCACATCTCTACAAGAAGAAAAGCAAAGGACTATCGTTATGTACAGATATGCACCACACCTGCTCATTCTACTATTAAAACCCTGCAGTTCTGAAAATGCAACGTAGGGTCAGCAAAGATTCAGAGACAGACATTTCAGAGCAGAGGTCAGCAGGCTGCCGCCTGTCTCAGAGCATAATTTTACCAGAACACAGACACATACGTTCATTTGTGTGCCGTTTCTGGCTGCTTGTGAGCCACCATGGCAGAGGCTGAGAGCTGTGGCAGAGACCACGTGACCCTCTACACCCAAAATATTTACTCCCTGCCCTTAACAGAAAAAGTGGGCCAACCTCTGACAAGCTACCTTTACCCCCAAACACTGAAAAAAAGAAAAGTTCACTCAGATTTGAAAACTGGCCTGAAATAATTCCCTGCCATAAAAACACAGACAAAAGGCCCACTCTGCAATGTCTGTTGATCATTTTGATGAATCTGTCTTCTAAAATAGAAAAGCCAAATACATTCATTCAGCAATCGTGTCAAAGGCAATAGAATAAATCTCGAGATGTTATGTGTGGCACTGTATGATCAGCAATGGACTGCTAAGCAAAAGGTCGGTGGTTCAAACCTACCAGCCAGCTGCTCCTTGGAAACCCTATACTTGGATCACAGAACTGACTTGAAGGCCCTAAACAACAACACATTGCTTTCTACACTAGAGTGTTTTAAGATGTGGAATAAGTACCTCTGAACTGACTATCGTTGAGTTGATTCTAACTCACAGCGACTCTGTAAGACAGAGCAGCAATGACCCCTAGGGTCCCCATGGCTGTAAACCTTCCCAGAAGCAGCCCCCCTCATCTTCCTCCCACCGAGTGGCTGGTGGGTTTGTACCACCTCCTTAAAGTCAATTCCAGAAAATGTACATTTGGCTTTAGGAGAAATACAAGTCAGTAGGAGGGCAGGTTAGGAGAGAAGCTCTGGTTCCTATGGGGAACCTCTAAACATTCGTAAGATAACCATCATTCAGGCCACATTTAAATACCTGATCACTAATGACGCATAAAAAGGAGTCCTGGTGTGGTGCTATAGGATAAGCACCGAACTGCTAAATGCAAGATTGGTGGTTCAAACCCACCAATATCTCCTTGGAAATCCTATACAGGGTCTCTATGAGTTGGAATTAAGTCAATAACGACAACAACAACATGCATAAAAAACTACGCAAGCTGTGTCTTGGAAAATACAAAAAAAGTAATCAAATAAGGGGAAATTGTCCTGAAATGACTTTGCATGTTGGCAAATGGCAGACACAACATGGCATTCACCTGTTGAGCCAGGGCAGGGTTTCAGGGTCCCATTATGGCTAGGATGTAGGCAGCATGCTGGACAAACTCAGTTTCCTATCCTTGGCTCAAGACAGGTAAGCCACGGGCAATTTTAGAAATGAGGGATCAACTTGCATTGTTGCTGGGGCTGTGTCCTGTTATCAGAGGGTGTGGGGCAGCATCCCTGGCCTCTACGTGCTAGAAACCAGTGGCACCTCTCAGCTGTGACAACTGAAAAAGTCTCCAACCGCCAAGTGTCCCCTGGGGGACAAAACTACCCCAATTAAAAAGCCCTGACAAGGCTGAAGCAAAGGGATTCTAAGACAGTAACAGCAGTGAAAACTAGACAGCATGCAAACTAAGTAATCTTTCCAGAGGCCTGCCACCTCTCTCTCCCACAGAGTGGCTGCAGCCCATGCTATGTAATCTCTTCCAACGCAAAAACACCATCTTCGGTTCCTTGGTCCTCAGCAGCTACTCCCACCTTCGTCACGCTGAGATTCTGACCCCTCTGACACAGAGCTCTGCAAACAGCTAGTTCTTAAAGGACATGGATAGACAATGGATGCCAACATGCCTCCAGGAATTCAGAGCAGCGGCCAACCTGGCCACTCTCTGCCAACCCCGAGCCATCAGGCCTGCATTGGACACAGCAAACTAAGATGGCACCTTCCGTAAGAGAGAGAGCTGCTTACCAATTCCCTGAAGCACAACACCTGCCCAAGGATGCTTATCAGCCGAACTCTTGATTTTCCTCTGGCTAACCACAAGGTCATGGACTCCTGCTCTGGCCGCTGTACGAAAAGCACTGGACTGCTAACCACAAGGTCAGCGGTTCAAACCCACCAGTCACTCTTTGGTAACTCTATACGGGATCGCTATGAGTCTGAATGGACTTGATGGCACTTAACAACAACCACAAGGTCGGCAGTTCAAACCCACCAGCCACCTTTGCAAATCCCATACAGGGCCACTATGTGTCAGAAACAACTCAACTGCACTTAACAAGAAGTCAGCACTCCTTGAATCTCTGAGAAGGGAAGGGGCACAGACAGCACCCCCAGCCAGCCTGACCCACGTCCATTAGCTACTTCAGTGTCTGTGTATTTCATATAGTGTCATGTGAACCACTTGAACTAGAAGAACAGACTTTATTTGATTACTAGTGGCACTATGGGTTAATGCGCTGGACTGCAAAATCAGTTTCAACTGCAGGTTGACGGTTTAAGCTTACCAGCCGCTCCTATGAAATCCTATACAAGGTCACTATGGGTCAGAACTGACTGAACAGCACTTAACAACAACAATAGCTTATAAAAGCACTCGGATTGGTAGGATCAGTACACAACTAATAAGAGCAAAAGGCAAACCTGGATAAATAAGACACTATTTTAAAAACTAAGGGATTTATCTTTAACCTTGTTGTTGTTGTTGTTAAGTGCCGTCGAGTCGGTTCCGACCCATAGCGACCCTGTACAGGGTTTCCGAGGGTGTAGCCATCTATTTAATGGCTATTTATTGATCGTCATATAGTACTTTTTATTTTGCTGGCTCAACATAATACAGATAATCTTTTTTATTTAGCCTGAGTATTTTCTTGTCTGCTGTTTCCAATCATGTGCATTATCTTTGGCTTTGTTCCCTTGGGCAACTACAGTCACATCACTTTTCTATGTTGTTGTTGTCAGGTGCCATCGAGTCGGAACCGACTCATAGCGACCCCATGCACAGTAGAACGAAACAATGTCCGATCCTGGGCCAACCTCACTACCGCCGCCATCAATGATGCCACGTGGCTGATCCATCTCGTTGGGGGTCTTCCTCTTTTTCTCTGACACTCCACCTTACCCAGCATGACATCCTTCTCCAGCGACTGTTCTCTCCGGACAATCTGTCCAAAGTATGACAGACGAAGCCTAGCCATCTTGGCCTCCAAGGAGCACTGTGGTTGCACTTCTTCTAAAACAGATCTATTGGTTCTTTTGGCAGTCCATGGCACTTTCAGTATTCTCCTCCAACACTACAACTCAAAGGCATCAATTCTTCTA